CATCATGCTGTGGGACTGTGACACACACAGATGGGGGAAGGTTCACAGATTTGTCTCACATAGGCGAGAGGGTAAAAGTGTCTGTATAACTTAAAATCTAAGGACACACTAGAAACTCTGGGACTTTAAATTTGAATCCTAGCTGAATGCCATTATAGCAAATCTGATTAGAGATAGCCCAAATCTCCATCATACACAAATTCTAACAACCCATTTATTTCAAACGCCCAATAACACAACATTCCAGAAGAGGAAAAAAAGACATTCAGATTCTCTAATCCAGGCCATTGCCTAGATAGTCCCTTCCAACGCAGAGACTCAGTTTCTCTAACTCTAATGTGACCTTGCTTCTGAATAAAAGGAGAGGAGAAAGAGGTCAGAAGGACGCCAGGGCTAATCCTGGTGGACGGATAATAAATGAAGGGTGGTGAAGCAGCTGGCCATCACAGACGAGGGCTGGTGAGCCTTTCTCCCTCCTCATCCCACATTGCCATAAGGCATGAATGTGTGTGAAAGGGTCCTAACATATATGCTAGCTGCTAATGCCCCTGCATTGGCTATGTCAGTGCTTCTAACGAAGATAATACTGCCAGATTGTCCTTGGAAGAATAATAACCCAGTATTGGGCACTTAGTATGTGTAAAGAGCTGTTCTGTGCATTATCTGTGTATTTAATCTCAATCAGTTCTTTACAACAATCCTTTAAGGGTGTGTAATTCTCATTTTAAAAGTGAGACTACAAAGCCCAGAGAAGTTAAGTAACTTGCCCAGCATCACAGAGCAAGTAAGCTAACGTGTCAGGATTTAACTCTAGAGGCTGAATTCATAACTACTATGCTATATTGCCTTCCCACCTTTGATGTGAAATACCTTCAAGTTGAGGCTCAAAAGAGCAAATACAGCTTTGATTTTTTTGAAAAGGTATTTATTATGCTAGGCCACACAGACATGGTTTAAATCAAGCCCCGAAAAGCAAGGTCAAATGAGAGCAATATGGGATTAGCTGGCACCTAAATGGGAATCATATACCTGAAAATACAACGAAGGTTTGTCCAGAGCTGGCCCTTGCTCCCCCCCATAGCTTTCTGACTATCTCCTTTTCTCTAAGATGGATGCAAAGCCGTAAGTCTCAGCCTGCAAATGAATTTCAGTGGAAAAAAGACAACTCTCATCTGGTGAGTCACACTCAGGCTTACTGGGCTTGATTTCTCATGAGACTGTACCAAAAGGTTCCTTTTTCGCACATAGAGCTCTAGACTTTCTTAAAGCTCCTGATGTGCTACACAGAATGCACTGGGCACAGCAACCATCTTTCCCTTCAAAACACAACTTTTATTTCCCCTAGGTCATCTTGAGTCAGAACACATTCTACAGAGAAGCTTGTTGGTCAAATATCAGAATGGCCAGGCGGTTACATGTGTCTGCAAAACCTCCACATCACATGGATGTTTCCACCCTCAACCAGGATCCAGGTAGAAACTTTTTTCTAAAATACACACCAAAAAATAGATCTGTATTTGAGGATTCCATAAAACGAATGTAACCCTGGGAAGGGGTTAAACTTCAACCTCAGGTTTCTAGAGGGCTAGGAGAAAAAGCACATTTTAAATTAATTTTTAAATTATAAAATATTTTCAGTACTCCAACTAATTAATAAGTCTATCTGAGAAAGGTAAGTTCACATATCTCTTGAAAAACTCTTCCCGCACCTTAGTTATTATCAAACCTCAAGGCATAAATAAATATTTCTTTCCTCAAACCCTGACACCTTTGGAATAGCAACGTTTTCTATATACTGTACAGTACAAAGCTGAAGAGTGTCAAATTAATAATAATAAAAAAAACTTAAGTAAAAACTATATTATAGTCACCATCAATGTAGCCAACACTCAACTAATATTTATTGAACCTTTGATAAGATTGGTGCCAATGCAAAAAAAAAAAAAAGAATAACCACTAGAACTAAAATGTGATTAATAGAAAAGAGTAACTCATTGGGTGAGGCTGGAAGGGGTAAATTGCTCCTGTTTACTTAACATCCACCAGCTTTACTGACTCATCCCACAGCCCATCATTTCTCCAGTTCTAAATCCATGATTATAATCCAAGGTGTTTCCTTGGAAAAGCCAAAGGAGAGAAAGTTCTTTTGCAGAAAAGGTTCCCCCTTGCCCCAAGAAAGAAATATTTACAAATTCCCGTAGCACAGGCTTTGAGGTTACAAAGGATGAAAACACATTGCTCAACCACAAGTGTCACAATTTAAATGATACTTTAAAAAATTTTAAAGCATTTTAGCTGCTATATGGCAATAAATTATCCTCAAATCTGCAGCTCATCTCTCTTTAGGAGGGATAAAATGGTGATGGGAAAAGCTGTTAAACTGTTGGAAAAGAATGTTCAAGTCCAAAAATTATTGTTATTTTGGTGTTAAAATCGTGTGGATTGTACAATGAAATGTACTGTCACTCCAACTCTCAAATATTTACAAAGAGTATGTTCCAACGTGAGCTCTGATATTAACCAGATGGATGTGGTTAATAAAAGTTAAAATAAGAAAAACCATTATAAAAACATAACTCTATTAAGTATATTGTCACTCCAAATCCCGAGTATTTACAAAGAATACATTTCAATGTATGTTAATATTTATTAACCAGGTGGTTGTAGTTAATAGGGTTAAAAATAAGAAAAACCAATATAAAAATATAATTCTATTTTTCAGTTTCCTCTCCCCTGCCTAATGAGGAAAGGGGAGTGGGAGGGAAGGCAACTTTTGTTATTTGGATACAATGTGTGTTTTTTGTTTTCAAACAAAAAAGGGCCACCAAATAATCAACCTGGGGCTGCTGACCGGAAGGCAGCCCCGGAAAACTTCCCGTGGGAAGAGTTCCAGAAATTGCCCGGACTTTAACGAGCCCCGCTGTGCTGGCTGCGAGCCTCAGACGGTCAGAGGCGACCGCGACTCGCCTCGCCCGAATACCAGCAACGCTGCCGCCTCCCGAAGCCCTGGACTTGGGAACCGTTCCCCAGAACATGTACAGATTTGAAAAGCAGGACGGGAAACCCATTTTGAACGGGAAGGAGGCGCCTCCAAGCCCTGGAGTACTAGGTTGAGAAGCCAGGTCCAGATGCGCGTGTGTGCACGTCCATCCTCCAGCATCAACAAGCCCTTGCTTACCCCAACTCCCCCCTCCGGTTCCTGCC